AGGTGTAGAGTGGTGCGCGGGCATGTTGTTTGGCTTTGGTGCTGGTGCAGTTGTGTTGGGAGAGGTAGAGTTTGGGTGGGGAAAAAAAATTGCGGTCCAGACTATTTTACCGTAGATGCAACCAGCCCTGGAGGCGGTCGCTTGGACCTGCATGGTTCCTTATTGCGGGAGGATAGGATAAGGAGAGACATTCACGAGGCAAGATAGCCCAAGACTGGCTGTTGTTTCCATGACGGAACCGCAACTGCCTAGATGCCTGAGATATAGACCGTCAGCCTCGAAAGTCTTGAGTGGATGGGAACGAGCTCCCCGTGCTCATTTGTCAACGACCAGCGAGCTCTCCCCGTTCCTGACTTTCAGCTGGGAGTCGAGTCGAGTCGCTTACCTACCATTTACGTACCTGCCATCCTGCCTACCTACTTACAGGTATTCAGGAGGGGGAACGGGTATGGCTTGTCCATATCCGGGGAAGGAGCAGAGCTGGTAATTAGGATACTAAATACTGAGGATTTGTTAGCGAAAGCAATTGTGCTTTACTATAACGGGGTCGCCTCATAATGTTCCACCAAATTTGCAAATTAAAAACTTCGGAGTTTTCCGCGTATAACCTATAGTTTTTTTATTTTTATACGTTAAATAGTTAAATTTTAATTAAATGTACAATTTTATTCGTTATTAATATACTAAAATACTATTAGTATTAGTATTAACGCGATATTAAACGTAAATATATGTTTACATAAATTATATGAAAATAAGAAAAATATATTAGTATAAACTGTCACGGTACAGTCGCTTATAAGGACCTCGCATGGGTTGTAGCCCCAGCTACAACAATGTTCCTCTTTTGCCTTAGTGTAACGGGTACTACCTTGGTCTGGTCCCGTAACATAAACCTTAAATTTTCGCGCATTTAATAATGCTGTTTTTGTAAAAATAGCTAAATTCTGTAAAATGAGATAAAGGGAAAGGCATACTAATCGCATACTAAATACTTAGCTAATCGTACTAATTACCAACTCTGGGAAGGAGGGCATGTTGTGCAAATGAGCACCTGGGGATGAGAGGCCACCAACAATACATAAGCTGGAAAATGAAGGAAGCAGTAGGTGAGTGGGTTAGAGGAAAATTGAAGCCATGAGAACAATCCCAATTTACATGGCGAGCTGGCACGAGACCAAGGACAACGGGCCATGGCATGTGCATCTCTTCCCACTTCTGAGCCATACCTATTCACCTCGCTTCCTGCTAGCTTGGCGGGTTTCTTTTTGCGCTGCTTCCCGCTTGAGAATTCAAAGGTCGCTGGGATATAGCGTTTTGCGTCTAGATCGACGCCGAGATAGTCCGGCGATGAAAAAGGCAGGCCAATGCTGAAACAGGATACATGCAGCCCCCACCACCACCAGCTTGACTCCCGCTGCCCCGCCAAAATCTTGACATCCGGAGGCCCGCTGCTCTGAGCTGTTCTGAATTTTTCTTCTTCCGCCTCGACAACCTAGAAAGCTCCTTCCTTCAATCCCAGGGACATAACCAGAATCCGATCGTCAACCTTCACCACCACATCTCTCCAGACAACCGCAACCATGGCTGGGTCTACGTACTCCCTGTCGTCGACGCACAAGGAGGTTTGTTACCCCTCTCTCACGGCCTGCCACTTTTACACCCTGAACGGCGACAGGTTTGAGTATTTGGGTGCTAACACAAACTATGGACGTAGATGCTCGAGAAGTCCCTTCTCGACTCCGACCCTGAGGTTGCCGAGATCATGGTAAGCTTGGAACCCTTCAAGCACCCCGCGTTGCCGCAATTGGGTCTTCCGCTCACGATCATTTCCAGAGAAACGAGGTCCAGAGGCAGCGCGAGTCCATCATCCTGATCGCCTCGGAGAATGTCACGTCGCGTGCCGTCTTCGACGCCCTTGGCTCGCCCATGTCCAACAAGTACTCGGAGGGCTACCCCGGCAAGCGTTACTACGGCGGCAACCAGCACATCGATGAAATCGAGCTCCTCTGCCAGCGCCGTGCCCTCACGGCCTTCCACCTCGACTCGGACAGGTGGGGTGTCAACGTCCAGTGCCTGAGTGGCAGCCCTGCCAACCTTCAGGTCTACCAGGCCATCATGCCTCCGCATGGTAGGCTTATGGGCCTGGACCTCCCCCACGGTGGCCACTTGAGCCACGGTTACCAGACCCCCCAGCGGAAGTAAGGAGCCCAGCTTCTACCTCACCCCATCTTCACTTCTGAGTCACCCCACTGACAGGTCCGTCCTTGTCTCAGGATCTCTGCTGTGTCCACCTACTTCGAAACCATGCCGTACAGGGTAGACCTCGAGACCGGCATCATCGACTACGACCAACTCGCCAAGAACGCTATCCTCTACCGCCCCAAGATCCTGGTCGCTGGAACTTCGGCCTACTGCCGCCTGATCGACTACAAGCGCATGCGCGAGATCGCCGACTCTGTTGGTGCCTACCTCGTCGTCGACATCGCTCACATTTCTGGCCTTGTCGCGTCGGGTGTCATCCCCTCGCCCTTTGAGTATGCTGATGTGGTTACCACCACCACGCACAAGTCGCTTCGTGGCCCCCGCGGTGCCATGATTTTCTTCCGCAAGGGCCTCCGCTCGGTGGATGCCAAGGGCAAAGAGATCATGTACGACCTGGAGGAACCCATCAACTTCTCAGTCTTTCCCGGCCACCAGGGCGGCCCTCACAACCACACCATCACTGCGCTGGCTGTCGCACTCAAGCAGGCCGCCACACCCGAGTTCAAGGCATACCAGCAACAAGTAGTTGACAACGCCAAGGCCCTCGAGAACAAGTTCAAGGCTCTGGGTCACAAGCTTGTCTCTGACGGCACCGACTCGCACATGGTTCTGGTCGATCTGCGCGCCCACTCTCTGGATGGCGCCCGGGTTGAGGCTGTCCTGGAACAGATCAACATCGCTTGTAACAAGAACAGTATCCCTGGCGACAAGAGCGCCCTGACCCCGTGCGGCATCCGCATCGGCACCCCGGCCATGACCAGCCGTGGTTTCGGTACTGCCGATTTCGAGCGTGTTGCTACGTATATCGACGAGAGCATCAAGATCTGCAAGGAGGTCCAGGCCGCCCTGCCCAAGGAGGCCAACAAGCTCAAGGACTTCAAGGCCAAGGTCGCCACCGGAGAGGTGGCCAAGATCAACGATCTCAAGAAGGAGATCGCCGCCTGGTGTCATACCTTCCCTCTTCCGGTTGAGGGCTGGCGCACTGACGCTGGAATCTAAACCTACCACCTGCACTGGAGGTCATGGCGACACCTGTGCGCTTCGATTTCCCAGTTAAATGTTAGCCAAGACGTCGAGCCCTGCACTACCTGGATAACCCGATCTGGCTTGTAGTGCGGTATTTCGTTCTTTGCACCTCGGGCTTTGACATTCTTTTCCTATTTCTATATCTTGTGTTTTTTTCGATGACTTTACTGGAGAACTGGAATTATTGGGGGCGATGGGAATAAGGGGGCCAAGAAAATGTGGAGGAAACACGCATTTCATCAGGCGTTGCGTTGCAATCTTTTCAACCGAAGGGCAACAGCGGAGTTTTTGGCATCTGGAGTGGATCGCTTCAACGCGGTTCCGAGAAATAACTCGGCTATTTTTTCAATATTGACTTGTCGACAGAGCAGTCGATGCTGAGCCAGTATTCAGAATTGTGTGCCCATGTGTCGTCAGCTCGCACCCAGATTGTCGAGACTGTAGTCAGCTCGCTTGATGCAGAGCGTGATTGTGAGGGTTGTTTGTCCAAGTGCCTACTAGGTTGGGGTAGGTACATGCCTATCCCTGGGCAGTACTTAAATGCCCGAGCATGGTCTGCTCATAAAGATAGTCGGGATGCGGCGTTGATATGATTATTTTAAATTTTTACATCAACGATGATAATGTATGGATAGCTAATGGCAGATGGTCACATAGAAGACCGGAACTATTGGATACGACGCTAATGGGTTGATAAAGGGAAAATAGATAAAATAAACTGCGGATTTATTTTTCACTGTTGTCCACTCGTAGAACGAGTGCCCTCGCTCGTAATCTTTGTTTATCGCTGAAGAGATGGGGGGCAAAAAGATGCGGTCTGTGTGGATCGAACACACGACCTTCAGATGTTGTGTCTGAAGTGTAACTTCAGTCTGACGCTCTCCCAACTGAGCTAAGCCCGCCTTGCTTGTTGACTTGCCGCCAATTCTCTCACCTGAAATACGGGAGATCGCAGCCGGCGGAGGAGGGCGTGTGGGCCTGGTCCCCTCCGATCGCCACGCACCCTGACTCGCCCGGACGGGCTGGTGGGCTGCGGCGATTGTGGCTGCTCTAGACTCGGAGCGCTCGAGAGTACGCCTACCCAAGAGTAGCAGCTGTTTGATATTTGACGGACATGGACATGTGTGAGCTGGTGCTCAGGCAGCAGGGTATCGTTTTGAAGACATCGTTCATGACACAGTTCAGCAGGCGTTTGGGCTGCACACGGCGCTTTCTAGATCAAGTGTTGACTCCTACTACTTGCTTCAAAGATGGGGGGCAGACAAAAAGCAAGAGAAACATAAAGCTGCCGGGGAATGGGGTTGAAACGAAGACCATTTGTGTGTCCTGCGTGAAACTGAGAACTCCAACGCCTTGATGATTTTTTGGGTATATATGTTAAACCATCTGACCCCCCTATAGGGTGTCGGTGTGCATCTGTGTGGGTGGGGGTTGGTTTTATCGATCGCCGTCCTCCTGTTCTCGTTCGACTCCTGATGCGATATATGGCGAACAAAAGAAAAGAGTAATGAGCGAGAGAAAGTCGGAACGTGGAATAGCAGGAAGGAGTGAAATGAAGGGAAAAATTAGTCGTGTGATAAAACAAAGGATAAATGAAGTGCGTGGGAGAAAGTACAATCCTCAGAATGGCGAGGCAGCGAAACACCAATGATCGAACAGCGTGTAAAGACGAATGTCTTTCGCGCGAGAAGAAAATCCTGACCACCGACCCGAGGATGTAAGTTCTAATGGATTGAAAAAAGAAAAATGAAGGGAAAAGAAATTGCACCAGGGAAGGAAACAATGTGGTGAAAAAAGACCCAAAAAAACAAAAAACGAAAAAAGCCCATTCATGGAAAGTCAGTGGGAACATTGTCGCCCATGCTGGACATCCTAGTGGATGCTCTCGGGGCTCATCATGCCGATTCCCTCGTCCCTGTCCGTGTGACTCGTATTTCCCAGGCTCTGCATGCTCTCGACCCTCTCCATGCCGGGAGCCTGGAGCACAAGGGCAGGATTGGAGAGCCCCTTGAGTTTCTTGGCAGGTGTCGAGCCCTTCTCCGGGGCCGAGTTGACCCCGCCCGCAGCCACAGCCTGCGCGCCGGCGACGGCTCCTTTCCCATCTGTAACTTGCGCCAGGCCAGACTCCAGCTTCTTCTTCTTCTTGGCCAGTGCGATCTGCTCCTTGGGAGGGCGCTTCTGCGGTGACACGATTTTGCCCGTGGCTCCAAGGCGCGGCCTCGGCCTCCGCTGCTTGACAGGGAGGTCCTCGTCTTCCACAAGTGGCTGGTCTTGGTTTGCGTGTAGTTTGGCGAGAAAGAAATTCTTGACAAGCCCAATCTGCTCCTGTATGTTTTCCTTGGTGACAGGCTCGAGAGGCGGCAACGGCTCGCAGAGCTCCAGCTCCACAGCGCCAGGCACCGCGGCCTGACTCTGGTGGTTCGCGTAGACACGCCTTTGGAGCAGATGAAGTGGGACGGAGAGGAAGTCGAGTCCCAATTCTTTGTCCAAGCCCAAAGACTTGAATCCAAAGAAGTCTTCCCCAAGCTCCTCGGCGAAGTCGCCCCCGACAAACTGCTCGCTTCCGTCCTTGAATGCGCCTGCACCATCCGGCCCCGCGTCGTTCAGAGCAGGGCGGAGCAGGTCTGAAAGATGCGCCTTCATGCGCTCATGGATGGTGACGAGCTTGCCTCCAAGTCGCTCGACCTCCTCCTTGGCATAGCATTCCAGGGATTCTGGATCATATCCGTTACCGGCAAGCGTGTGCAGCACAACCTCCTCTGGTGTGAATCTTGGCTGCCAGCGGTGACCCTGCTCGGCAAAGGTACCCATTGCCGGCTTCTTGTCCGCCTCGTTATAGACGTTGAAGGTCCGCACAAGCTTCTGGAAGAAATCAGCTGCGATATCTGTGATGGTCTCCAGAGCCGATGGTTGGAACTCTTCAAAACCAGCATGATAGAGGATCTTCCCCACAGAACGCTGCAGTGCTGATCGGCAAGCCTCAGGTGCCATCACCACGCCCTCACCCGCGGTGAAGTGTGGTTCGATATCTGCCTCCACAAACGGCTCCGGATTGTATTTGGGAAACTGGTTTTGGTAGATCTGCATGGAATTGTCAGCGTCCGGGTCCGGGGAGATACATGTGAGAGATGATGACTGTGTTGTCGTACCTGAGTCTGGATTTGCATCTGCTTGATGACTCCGATCTTGGAACACAGCTTCCTGGTTTCCTGCATCTGGTGGATATTGGAATCTATGCGCTTTGTGAGGCGACTGGAGGGGGCAGTGAAGTGGCCAGGAGGCACGATCTTGAGGAAGTCTTCGTGCTGGTTGATGACCTGTCCTTCGCCGTCTTCTACCCACTGAAGCTTTGTGGGGATGTCCGGGATTATGGTCTGGGGCTCGTAGTAGTCGGGAAGGACTCTCTCCTCCTCATCTTCCATTCCCTCGGCGAGTGTCTCGGGAGCCTTCGTCTGCTTCACGGCGAACGCTGAAGACTCGGCCTGCGTCGGGGTGAGGAGGCCGTTGGACTCGGCCTGCTGCTGGTTCTTCAGGAACCGTCGCATGCCCGACTTTGTGCGCAGGAGAGCGGGTTCGTCGGGATTCAGTCTGCAGCCCTGGAAGAGCTGGTGGCGCTGTTTGGAGACAAGTGCACGATCACGCTTGGTGACCTGCTTCCAGATCTTGTACTCCTCGTCCTCGTACACCTGGACAGCAGCCTCTCCAAGAGCCTCACCAAATGCCAGGCCATTCAGAGAAGGGCCGTCGATGTCCATAGCATCGGCATTGTTGGTGGCCCCCGAGTGGCCATTCATGCCGATTGGAGTGATGGAGCCAGCGACCGGAGTGCCGAATCCGTTGCTGCCATCCATAACCTCGGAGCCCTCTCGGCCTTTGGCCAGTAGCCCGTTAAGCTGGAGGACAGGCTTTTGGTCGCCGGTAGGGGTGTTCTCCTTCTGGTCCGAGGGTGCCTTCCGAGACTTGTTTGTTCCTTTGGTGCCAGCCTTGCGTCCCCGAGAAGACATGATGGGCTCGTCGTCACTGTCATCGCCGGCGTCGTCCTCGCCCCCGTTTTGTTTGCGGCGCTCCTCAGCCTCAACCTCAGCGCGAGGGCGCACGACGATGTCGGGGATCAGAGGGATCAACTTCTCGGCCTCCTTTCTCATGCCGTTGGCCATGCGCCGCAGGTGGTGATTTAGGTCCTGGTTGTACTTCAAGCAATTGTCCCATATCAGATTCAGGTCGTGGACAAAGTCTGCTTTCGACTTGTACTGGAGACCCTTCAGCTTCTTGGTCATGGTGCCGAGGTCCATTGGTTGTTTGATGACTATTGCGGCGCGTATTAGCAACGATGAGACGAGTATTGAGCGCTCGCCGGTGAGACTTACGATTATAGTAGTCGGGCGCATCGCGCTTGTTCACTCTTTGGAGGAAGGGCGTCGAGTACTCAGTGTGCGCCTTGAGTTCGCTGAGGACTTTCTCGGCCGCCTCATAGAGCTCCTCCTGGCCCACGTTCTCCTCGCTGGCCCATTTACTCCGATTTTTCCTGACCTCGTTCATCAGCGACCTCAACTCCGCGTCCGACGCCCGGACTTGATTCCGCTTCTGATCGATGCGGGCAATCAGGTGCTTCAGTGTCAGGCTCGATGCGCCGAGATTGGCGCTGCTCAGAGTGCCTTGGTTCTGGCCAGGGCCTTGGCTCGAGTTCGGACCCGTGTTCTTATCCATCTCGGCCTGCAGCTGCTTCTCGGACTCTTCTAGCTGTTGCTGCTCCAACATGGCAGTCCGGTCATTCTCGAGCGTGTATATTAGGGTGTGGAAGCTGCGCTTAGCGGCCTCCTCGGTCGCGATGCGAGCCTCCTCCAGCTCCTTGCGCGCATCTTCTGACGTCTTGACCTGACCTTGCGAGGAAGTGTCATCCTTGGTCTTGGCGGTGTGCTTCCCGGGTGACGAAACGGATTGTATTGGGGAGCTACCGGACTTGGACGGCGAGAGGAGCTGGCGGTTCTCGGCCGCGTTCTTGGACTTGAGAGGCGAGCCTTGCGTGTCTTCGTCTTCATCATCTTCTTCGTCGTCATCGTCGTAGTCATCTTCGTTGATGGTGCGCTTGGCCTTCTTCAGCGGCGGTTCTTGTATGGGCGCATGATCGGTGTCGGGGATAAGGGGTGTGGCGACGGCCGGGGCGCGATTCCAAGACTCTATGGCGTCGTAATTGTATGAGCCGTCCTCGGAAAATAGCAGGGCGATCTTGGATTCGCTCTTGCGGAAGAGGTCGGCAAAATGCGCGCGGCGGTGGTCTTCCTCGATATCGGATGCCTCAGGCACCAACGTCATCGAAGTGTCAACGGGGGTTTGTGTTCGCGCCAGTCCATCATCAAGAGAGTGCAGCATCTTGTTCCCGTTGTAGGCGGCGACGGGCATTGCCGGCCAGGCTGGCTGGCCCTGATGGAAAGACATGCTGGGGACCGTCTGCGATCAAGGAAGACGCGGTTGGGGGGTCGCCATGCGCGGTGATGCTGCGGTCGCGTCCGGCCGGAACCAGCGAGGTTCGCGCGCCGAGAGTCACATAGGAAGAAAGCGCGCCTTCGGTGGTGATGGGGAGTGCAGTTTGGAGGACAGAAACGATGGTTGTGGTTGAGCCTTGATGGATTGCAACAGGTGCGATTTGGCGTGAATCGACGGTTGAGGTTGTTGAATTGGCAGATGCGCTGCTGGGCGTGGCACGTTTCTGGAGTGGGCGAATTTTCCCTGATCCCAGATTGGCTCGCCCAGGGCCAAGGTACTTTGGGCGCAGGTCCGCGACGGGTTCCAAATGTCCGCCAGGGAGGTTTAGAGTGTCGCGCTGAGGATCTGCATACTTCTCCTACGTGATATCTCCTTCTGCCATTTGATGGCTCAATCACGATGTGGAAAGCGAGTATTGCCGGGCCTTCGCTATACCCCAGATCTGTACCGTGTACATGTGCCGCCCGCCTTCCGGGGATGCGCCAGGTCCCAGTGGTGATTTGGCTCCACCGGCCCTGGGCGGGAAACGGACTAAAGGGACCCCCAACTCCGGTGCATTGGATCCATCTATCGCATTCGTTGCACGATGAAGACATTCAGCTGTAGCAAAGCAGAGGTAACTCTGCAAAGAGTTTTGGCTGGCTAGGTATCCCTTTGAGAGCCGTCGACGTGCCGACCATTCATCACTTCAAAACGTGTGCTAGTCATAAGAATAGGAAGGAAAGCAAGAGGAGTAAGGCTTAGAAAAAAAACAAAATAGAATTAGGAGGTGCATGGCAGCACATTGACGGCGCTCAAAGGCATATGATGTCTGCTCGGGCACCCATCGATCGATCTTTACACCACGAAGCAACCACTCAATTGCTGTAAGCCAAATTAAGCGACGCGATTGTGGATGGGATGAACCACGTGCAACGAGGGTCTTAGGGTCGCAGAGTTCAAGATACGTGGTCTGTTTAGTCGGTCTCCGAAAAGGGGAGAAGCAAAGAAACAAACACGTGAGGTCGCATGTGACTTGAGGCTTTGTCGGCTTGGGTTATTTGAAGCTGATAGATTGCGGGCTGGACTTACTAGTAGGCTGTCCTGGCCCCGCTGACGAGCGTGGACAGCGTTGGCCATTACGTCTTCAGCCGCATGCGCAAATAGAGGCCATCACCGGCGACTAGAGCCGCCAAATGCGCCGTAAGACAGCGATCCCCACAGCTCGATTCCCACCCGACTGCTGCCTCCCGCCGGTGCCACAAACAGCCCAACTCGGCCGCCGCTGCGGAGGCCACCCGCGTCGACCTAGCCCCATTCGGCCGCCATTTTTCCAGGACCTGACCCCTGCCACAGAACAAAGCCCCAGAGCGAGCCGTCCAGGCTTCCCAACTCAACATCCCTGCCGCTCCGCCCTGCAGCTGCTGGCGTCAGACGGTGGAGCCCCTGCCGTATTGCGCAAGAAAGCGAGGTCGCCATCGTGCCAGCTCTTTGTCCCACGCCGATGGAGCTCGCTTCCAGTCTGTCCTAACCACACACCCTACGCCGCCCAGCGCCGCCCTCTCTCCAGCTCGGCCGCGTCGCACCACCCCAAGCTGTGCGCCGCCGCAGATAGCGAAGCCCAACTGCACGCGCCTCCATGACCCTGAGCGTCTCGACACCACCAACTCATCGTCGATCGCAGGGACACGATATCGTGTGCTCCTTGCCCATCTGCGCCCCTCCCTCTAACATCCGCCACTAGCCAAATCGCGCCAAACAACCATGAGGATACGACTTCCTTTTGCAGGTAAGACCACCGCTCGCCCAATTCAGGCTCTACCTACCGCCGTGTCGCACAGAACGGGAAGAGGGGAAGACGTAGAAGAAAATTGCGGGGGAGGGGAGAAGGCTGACCACGGGACAGGGGGCTTCTTCTTCCTGCTCCTTATTGCGGGCTACGCCGGCCTAACGTCGCTGCAACTGGGCCATCTCATCAACGACAAGCTCTTGCACTTCCTCACGTTTTTCGTCCTGACCATAGTATTTTACTGGATCGTCGACACGAACCGCCGGCGCACCCTGAACCTGACCCTGACCGTCTGCACCGGCGCCCTCGGGGTTGGCTCCGAATTCCTACAGGCCATCCTGCCCAACGACCGCGACTTTGACGTTTACGACATCGTAGCCAACCTTGTTGGCAGTCTGGCCGGCTTGGGCCTGTGCAGTTGGTACCACAAGCGCATGTTGGAGCGCAAGAGGGTCCGTAGGGGCTACGGCGCCGTCGCGGGCGAAGAAGGTGGCGACGGCTTCGGCGAGGAAGACGACCTGGAGCTAGGCGAAGGCCTCGGTCTCGGCGGTAGTGGCCACGAGGAGGGCATCACAGAGGTTTCTCGCCCACATGACGACACCCCAGCCAATGGCGGTGGCAGGGGTCTGACTCTTGAAGAGGAGGTTGATAACTGGGACGAGAACGAGGTTGACGCATGGGACGATGCAGACGGGGCTGGAGACATTGGAGACTCGGCGCCCGTGACCAAAAACAAAACAGGAAAAGGGCCGATGAACGGTGATGGAGATGGCGCAAAACGGGCCGGCTGAGCACCAGGTTTCGGGTCTTTATCTGACTTTGTCAGGTGGTTCGTATGCGTTTGTATGATTCTCGTCGGTTATGACATCGCGGAAGAATTGGGGAAATATGTCAGATTTGGGTTGGTTGGATGGCGGTTGGCGTTTTTGCTTCATTACTCTCGTATTTCCAATGCTCATCTTTTACCAGGGATATCTACTAGGTTGGCTGCAAAAAGGTCTGGGTCTGGGGTCAAGCTCTGTTAAGATTAAAATGGCTCTAACTGGGATGTATCATTGGTGAGCATAAGGAGAGGTATGTGCTCGGAGACGGTTGGGAGTGGACGGTTTGATATCTTAGAACCCATCCTCACTGCCAACACACAAGCGGCAGTTGAAAACGCGAGAGGGGTCTACGCGACGCTTAATTTCGAGTAGCCTGGGGTAGTTGGTGCCGAAGAACGAGTCTTGCCAGTTCTCCTCCAGAACGAAGTCCTCATTGTAATACGCGGCAGTCCCAAAGACTGCGGTGGCATTGGCCACGATTGCCCGCCCGGTATCAATCACCTGCTGCGTTAGACCCGACCATGTGCCGGGGACTGCAATATTGATGAAGTTGAAGGCGTTGCGCCACGCTGGATGCACGGAAGTCTGCGTGCTGGAGTGGTTAGCTTCTGGGCCGTTGATCGTGCCTGTCTGGTTGGCATAGTGCTTTTCTTGGCAGCCTCTATCGCCGGGAGGGCAAAGAAGAGAACAGCGCGGGTATTTGCGATACGTACAGTGTTGGGCTCAACCTGGGTTACAGCTCCACTAACGGCTTGAAGAGAGACATAAGTTAGCACTATAGCCAAGGAGTAAGCCCCTCGAAGAAGCTAAAGGGTCCGCAGAACGTACTGTTCTGCCAGATAAACGAGGAAGCCGAAGGCAAGTCGAGGAGAAAACCCTTGATTCGTTCAAGGCCCTCAGGACTCTCGATCAGAGGTCTTGGCACAATCCGACTATGCACTGTCACGGGAAGACCGACGCTGACAGAGGCAGATACCATGGGGCTAATGACACCCTGGTATGCTTCATTCCAGGAGCGCGACCCGGTAAATGTTGTCGCTCTCAGGCTGTTGGCACAGCCGCTGACAGTCAAGATAGATTGCAAGTCGTCTAGGGTCTCGCTGGCCGGAAAGACTGTGTCGTTGCTGCCAAAGGACACAACGGAGATGTACATGCAGCCGAGGCGGGATGGCTGGCAGGCCCAAACACCCTGTTATGTTGACCTGAATGTCAGCTCAAGTCCATTCATCTCACTGGGTGTCCGGGGAACGTACCGTATGCCCATTCTCCTGCAACGAAGTCTGGGCGTCGACGATGGTTCGGACCAGGCCTTCATATGAAGCCCGGTTGGCACACCCGATCTGGCCCGCAACAGAGTTGATGGCGCTGAAGGCCGGGTGCGCCTTGATGTAGGCTCTTGTGACGGCGGCGAAAGCGCCTCCGCCACCGCGCAGCGCCCAGAACAAGTCTGGCTGGTTGCAAGCATTGACAACCAGCATCTTCCCGTCAGACGTTACCACCTCGGCCTGGACTAGGTCTGAACGGAGTGTTAGGTGGGTTGGATCCGATTCCACCCCGGCCGGTTCCGGACCTAAGGAGACGAGGGGCTAGGATGTGGAAACGTACTGTCAACTGCCATGCCTAGATGAGGGCTTAGTGGTCCTGCGAGTGGGCACGAACAGTCAGGAACAGCAAAGCCACTTGGAGTAATGGGATCTCTTACCAACCCCACCACCAAGCAGAAACCCGCCAGTAACACCGACCGAGGATGCAGACGCGCCAATAACGACCTTACCAACCTCTGCGGCGGCACGGTAGAGCTCGGCAGCGTCGATCCCGGGGCCGGCAGAGATGACATCTTGGGGAGGGGCTGAGCAGCCATCTGGCACAAAGCCCCTGACAAGGCGGGCATCGTTCATGTGCCTTGTCCAGATAGAAAAGGCGCCCGCATCGGTTGACCGGCCCAGGTAGTCGTGCCCAGTCTACGGAAGCGCGGCTCGATCAGTCACATGGTCATACCACAACACATGCCAGGTTGCCTGTTTGGAATAGAAGAAGGAAGAGACCAACGAACGTTTTTGACACGGAGTCTCAGGTTATGCTTTTCAGCAAATATGACAGACTTTGCAATATCGTCGGCGCTGGCGGCCTTGACCATGTAGGACGGAAGCCCGCCCAGGGAGCATTCGCCGCTGACCGGTCCAGGGGGCGTCCCATCTGGATTCGGATTGGGAACAAGGCAGCCGCCCTTATCACCCAGCAGGCCGTCCTGCTCCCAGTTGGGATACATCATGCCAGCTGCGAGGGATTGTGTTTGCGTCAGTCACACAGGTTTGATACCAAGAGGAACATGCATGACAGCTGGGCATGGATATAGGTAAATACCTGACAGGTTTCTTCGCCAGTCCTCGTTCCCCTTGATCTCGGCTAGCAACTTGCACTCTGCCGCGTTGTACGCAGCACCGTAACACGGCATTCCGTACGGGACAGATTTGAGAAGGGCGCCGTTGACTGTCGCGTTGAAGGCGTCCAGCTCGGCGCTGCCAGGGAAGCAGGCATCTCCGGGGAGACAGTAGGGCGCCGCGGCGAAGGCGGGCACCACGGCCTGGGTGGCCGTCAGCACGATCGCCAGTGCCGTGGCGGCGCGGAAGCTGGGAAGGGGCAGCATTCTCTAGTTCCAATCTTGGCGAGTTTGGAACGGGTGTACAGATGATCTATCGAGCTGGCTGTTCCGCCCACAGTCACAAACACGGACGGGCGGCCGAGGCGACAATGAGGCCTTATATAGGGACGCATGGAGGCGGGTATACAAGATCGCGCAGTGCGTCTGTATGCCTAAGGATCCGCCTACGGCCGCCCCCATTCTCTCGTGTAGGGATAGGAATCGGGGCCCAGCAGCATTCCACAGGCTCCTCTCATTACACATCACGGAAGAGGCCCTGGTAAAGTTGAGGGCTATGTATGCAGGATGCCGGCGGAAGGAGATCCCAGTGGCCCAGTCATCATCGGTTCGTCTCAAAGAGGGAACGCTTGTTGGCGGGGACGCAATGTGTAGTTGCAGCTGCAGGGATGGATTGGCGTTGGCGGGAGAGGGAGACATGGGTCACCGGGTCGTCAATCACAGCGTCAAGACCAAGTATTTCGTCCACGTTCAAACCGCCTGTGGGCCTTTGCAGAGTCCATTGGGGGCCATTTGTGCTCTGGGGGTCGGGCAGGATGGTGTTCTGAAGACATTGTGGCTTGGTCCAAATAAAAGTTGGTCCTTGCATTTTTATGCGGGCCCCTGCTCGGCGTTTGGGCATCCTTCTATGCCCGATACAGACGCGGTATTAGTATCGATACGATGAGATATGGTCGCATCTCATTTAAGATCCTGGGAGAAGCGCGTAGGTGTCGATGTGTCTCGTATCCATGTCTGAAGTGATGCCCTCCTGCATGCGCGGCGCAGTCTTGCATCTGTCCGGATTCAGACTAGTGTACCTGTTGTGGCACACATCAGACTCCACTCTAGCTTGACCACTGACGTCTGTCTGGTGTTCCGGAGATGGAGGAACCGGGGATGAGACAAATGAGGAAGATGCCGATGACAAAGGCAGGGGACTTCTGTAACCTGAGAAGGTAGACGTTTTGCGCTCGATGCCTCCGATAGTGGCAGATATAGGCTACCTTCAGCAATTGAGTTGGCGGAGGGGCTGCAAGGATTTTTGGAGACCAAAAGAGATGGTCGAAATGAAGAAGAGGATTGTTACCGACCCGGTCGGCGGACATTGGGCCGAATGAGCGGATCCTCGGATGCGAGGCGTGATAAAAAAACTAGGAGAAAGAAAAAGAAAGCGACGATTAAAACTTAAAAAAGGAAAGGGAAAAGAAAAAAGTGGATGGATAAATTTTTATAAAAATGATAAAAAGCAATAGGCTTCCCATACCCCTCGATGGAGAGGATTTCGAGCTGGATAGGTTCGTAATGAATGGTTTTTTGATAATATTTTGTGTTTCGTCGGAAAAAAAAAGGGTTGGGAAGGGGATAAAAAAAAATGTAATCCCAGGTTTTCCCTTCGAGCGGGGTTTTAACAAATTTTTAAGGTATCCTTCCTAGCTTGATTAAAATACTTACCAAGCTTAGTTGGGAGAAGGAGTAACGATGTGTAAACTCCTTAGCGAAGTGTAAAGGAAAGGTATTTAAGGGAATGTAGTGTCTTAAAGTTTCAAGTGACGTAATGGAATAGCGTGGGTAAAAAAGGGAGGAAGGAAATGGGACGTTGTGTCCTTTTGTGGAAGGAAGATTTTGTAATAGGTTAAACCGCCAAGTGGTGCTTGGCAGGTGCCGAAGTGATGTTATTCTACGAGATAACGAGAAAGGAGGAGAGAGTTGGGTCCCTGCCTTTAAGAGGTTCAGGGCGGTTCTTATATACATGAGTCCTAGCCCAAGAAGCACCCCTTGGGTCACGTAATCCGTGCTTAGCACGGATTTATAACAGATTTTAGCGTATTGTTAGTTGGATGTTGGTCGGATGGTAGGCTGATGGATTGGCGCATTAAGGGAGATGCTGGCGCCAAGTAGCTTGGAAGCAGATTTGAGACGACGTAAATGTGGCTGCTATGTGGCTTCCCAGCTCGATTTGGGAGTTCCGAAAATTTGGAGAATTTTGGAAGGTTGGAAATAGCTGGAAAGCGGGATTCAGAGATAAGCTGAGGCGCTATAAGCGACGATGGGACGGCTATAAATTAACGAATTTTGGCGTATCTAATTGCCGATTTACGAATAAACAGGATTTGTTCAAAAGGAAGGTTGAAAGGAGATGGGATGTGTTGGCTTGTAATAGAGAAGGAGGACTAGCTGAAATGAGGTTTTCGTGGGTTTTTGTAACGCGACTGATGGAGTGGTCAGATGCGGTCTCGACGCGACCTTGAAAACACCAAGGGGAATTTCGTGATGGTGATTTTCAGGCTTCAATATTGTTAGTTTTATGCAGGCAAGGTAGGAGGATAGAACTCCATGTAGTCAAGTGGTAGGTGATAGGCTAAGGCCCGGAGGGTTTTGGCCCGTGCTCTGGTGATGACTCATCCTCTCTCCACACGTCCAGCGAGATCGGAGAGGGGATCGAACGGGCAGGCAGTTCTCCAACAGCCCCCACCAAAACGTGGCCATCCCCCACCAGCAGGAGCACTCGATGCAGCCCATCCAACACCACACGATCCCAAGCAAGAGACCCCCGGGCAGGCGGCATAAACCGTTTGCGTGGCCGAAATGGAAGACCCTCTTCAGGAAGTGCGGGTCCAGGACTTCATCGACGACAAGCTCCAGTCGACGACGGACCTCGACCACCTCGACGACCTCCTGGCCAACGTCGAGCTCCAGAGGACCCAGCTGCAGACCCAACTCGATGACGCGACAAAGGAGCTCGACGCGGCCCGCCGCTCGGGCAGCGACCGCCAGGAGTCGCTGGCCCATCGCATCGACGACTTTGACACCCTGCAGCGCAGCATCGACTTGCGCCTGCAGATAGTCGCCTCGTCTGACGCCCCTGACGAGGCCATCCGCCGCCTAGAACCCTCCATGCGGCGCCTGCACCGCGTCCGCCTCGCGCTCGACTACCTCTATCTCCTCCGCGACGTCGAGACCTTGCGCGCCGAGGCCCGCTCCCATCTTCCCGGGAGCCCCAAGGCCGCCCTGCAACCGTATGCGCGTCTGAGGCAGCTCTCGGCGCGCCTGCGCGAACTGCAGGTCCCCGCCGACGGCGCTGCCACTCACCTCGTCGCCCACGTCGACGCTGTTGCCGAGGCCCTCTGGTCCGAGATGAAGGCCACCATGTCGGACGAGATGAGAGCCCTCCTGGCTGAACGAAAGTGGCCATCGTCAGTGCAGCCCGACCTTCTGGTCGACGAGGAGTGGCGCGGCTGCTTCGAGAAGCTGGTCGATCTGCAAATCCCCGAGATTCTTTACGACTCCTCGGTTGTCCCGCTGCTCCCCATCGATGTCATGGCCCAGATATGGATCAAGGAGTTTCGTTACCACTTCCTGGGCGATCGCCCGACCGCCAACAACCGCCTGATCGGGCAGCATTGCTTCCCCTGGGTGATACGCCTTGTCGCGACCTGGGAGGACTTCTTCCGGGACAACTTTGGATATACGCTGTCGTCTAAGCTTGGCGACACTGCCGCTTCTGCTAGGCTAGTGTATATGGACCCAGTCTGTGCCCTGGTAACCTCGCTGCTGCCCGTTTTGCGAGAGAAAGTCTCGGCGGCAGCAGCCGAAGCGGTCCTGGACTCAAGCTTCCTGAGTAGCTTTATCGGGCAACTCTTGACGTTTGACGAGGATATACGAACTCGTTTCGGTTACGATGACGGCGATGGGGGCGACAATAGTGGCTGGGATGGACTGACCGCGGGCGTACTGGAGACGCACTTTGTGGCATGGCTGCAAGCGGAGAAAGAGTTTGCGCTCACACGGTTTAAGGCCATCATGGACTCGGCCGAAGCGCGTGCTATCGACTACGACTACGGCGGCCCCGGCAAAACCAAGCCGACGTTTGCTGCCTCTCGCGTAACGGATCTTCTTAAGTCCGTGACTAGCCAGTACGAGCGTGTCCGGCGCTTCTCGCACCGGTTGCGTTTCCTCATCGATATCCAGCTTGCCATCCTAGACGAGTTCCACGACCATCTCCGGGGTTCTCTCGAGGCCTACATGTCGCTTACTTCGACCTTTGCCCGCACGCTGCAGGGGGCTACTAAGGAGCAGCTCGCTGCGCTTGAGGGTACTGGGTCTCTTGAAGTACTCTGCAAGGTCTATGGCGGCGCCGACCACGTGGTCAATGCGCTGGAAGACTGGAGCAACGAAGAAGTAAGGCCAATTATCGATCAACTCTCTGGAAATTTCCCAGTCGGATGCTAATACATAGAACCTCCTCCACCCAACCTTAGTTCTTTATTGTTTTCTGGCAGGAGCTTCAGGGCCGGGCCAAGAAGAAGGAGGGACAGGAGAGTCTCGCGGGCGGTCTAAGTTTTGACGACGTCAAAGAGAGAACATCTGCGGCCGTTGGCTCCGATGGCGACGGCGCCGTTATATTTGACGAGATCATCGCGGCGTATAACGCTCGGCGCAAAGCGGCGCTCAACTTGATCATCTCCTCCCTTGCCGATGCGCACTACACCGCCTTCCGCCCTTACCTGAGGCTGGGTCAATGGACGACCATCAGCGATGACCCCTCCCAAGCCGATCCATCACAGCTTGCGATATCGCCCGAGCTAGATGAACCTCTCCGAGTAAGAATCCTTAGCGATCTTCAAGACCCTCATTTTTGAGATTCACGCCATCTCCAACCGCAGATTGCTCATGCTAACCAACATGATAGATCATCAAACGCAACTTGGACTTCTTGCATCGTGCCCTTAGCACGGCCGCATTCCGACGCGTCTGGCGCGAGGCCTTGGACAAGCTCAACGATGCGCTGTGGGATGGCGTGCTTATGGGGCACAGCTTCACAGCCTTCGGCGCGGCTCAGTTCGCCCGCGACGTCCAAGCAGTGGTGTTGCTAGTCGAGCGCTACATTCCGGACGGCTCTGCAATGCTGCTGAGTGTGCAGGAGGGAATCAGGCTCCTGAGCCTCCCGCTCGATGCTCCAGAGCATGCCGACGGTAGTACAACTAGGGAACAATCCGTCATCACGCTCAGGCAGGCCAATGACCGGATCCTCATGGACGAGGCCGATGCGAGAAAGCTTCTCGAGGAGCTGGGCGTCGAGATGCTCACGCTGGCCAATGCAAGACACATTTTGCAGCGGCGGGTTGAGGTGAGCGCATAGCATGGAGGTTTAGGGAAGCATGCATGCGTGAGAGATATGAACGATTGGAAATGAGATGAAGAAAGAAGATAAGCGCAGGTGTTTGTCGTTCCCGTGAAAGGTGCAAACAAACTGGGTGCTCAGCGAATGCCCAGCCCCTTGATATGGACGTGGAATGAGATCCGCATAACGCTACATGTGTATCCAATGTCTACCGATATCAGTAAAAGTGTAGAAAATGAACCGATCTCGCCACAGGAACCCAAATGAAAAGTCCAGTCCAATAAAAGGAGAAGTATGAAAATCCCGACAGCCAAGGATGCTTGATCTAAGGGTATTGCTATGCCAAACCGCGCGTCTTGGACTCAAAGCGTGAAAGAGGCGGCGCAAAGCAGGACAACAACAACAATAAAAAAGAGCTCAGCCGAGAGCGCGCATGGTCATCTCGACGACGGCAAAGGTGCCGGCGCTGACAGGCATGGCCCTGAGCAGGGTGGGGCCGAGGCCTTTCCAGAAGCCCCTGGCGCCCTCGGCGCGCCACGTCTGGGCGAAGCAGTCGCGCATGCTCGCGTAGCGCCTGTGCCGGCCGAAACCGTCGGTCTGCATCTTGCTCTTGACCACGTCGAGCGGGTAGCTGGCCAGCCAGAGGGCCTCGCCGGCGGGCCCCCCGTAGAGGGCGACCTTCCACGTGGCCACGTCCGCGCGCGCGACGCCGTTGCGGGCCGCGTCGGCGGCCATGAGCCACTCGAAGGCCAGGAACCACACGCCGTAGGCCTGCGCCTCGCGCAGCACCGTCACGGCCCCGCCGCGGTACACGCCGGGGAGGACGCCGCCGGCGGCCGCGCCCAGCTTGCGGGCGCAGTCGACGGGGCCCGAGTACAGGCGCGCGGCGCCGTGCGGCTGCGTCTGCAGCCGGATGCGCACGTGCTCGATCGGGGTCGAGATGACCGAGTTGGCGACGCCCGCGAAGGCGCCGGCCGCGTAGTACTGGCCGTAGCCCAGGGGGGCGCCGTTGTCGCCGCCGGCGGAGCCGTTGCGGGCCTCGAACCAGCGGCGGGCCTGGTGGAAGGCGCCGAACTGGACCGAGACGCAGGCGCCGATGCCCAGGAGCGGCGTCAGCGTGCCCTTGTAGAAGGCCAGCGGGCCCTCGTTCTTCCAGATGGACGTGGCGGCCGCCAGCGCCGACGGGTACGCCGCCGTCGTCTGCAGCCGCACCTTGACGATGTCGAAGGGCTGCCCGATCAGCACCTGCGCCACGCCGCCCGCCGCCCCCGAGAGCAGGTCCTTGGCCGTTTGCAGGCCCGCCGACGACTCGGACGGCGGCGGCGGTGCGTTTCGGCTATGCCTTTCGACGTCGGCGGCCGAGGTTGCCATGTTTGCGTTTGTGCTTTGTTTTTTTGTTCTTTTTGTCCCGGGCTTTCCGCTAGGGCTGCCGTCCGCTGCCTGCTTCTCCTGGATCGCTCCTCCTCCTCGCCTGCCTTCTCTGGGCAAGCCGGAGCGGTTCTCGCCGCCGTATGGGGCTTGGAAAAAACCTGTCGCGAAAGGAAATGTTGCGGCTGTGTTATGGGGGGCGGGGTGTGACGGCCTTGTGTCGCCAGTCCGCAAGGTGGGAGAGGTCTGGGGCCCTGAAATATATGTGATGTTGGGTTTGGGATAGCGGTATGCTCGGGGCGGCGCTGGTGCTGTCAAGTGTGATATTGATACGGCCTAGCGTTTGATTCGTCCCGTCATAGCACGCGCTGAAAATGTGACAAGCTGGGAGGCTGGAGCTACTCCCTAATGGTGGGGAACTTTGTGTGCTTGATCCGGTCCGACGGGAAGCATTGGACGCCGCTATCGGAGCACACCAGGAATGGATGCAGCAGGGAGTCGGGGCTTTCCATGGTGGGGCGTCGGCGGCGACTCGCTTGCATTTCATCATGGGAGGCTGCAGATGACGTGCTCGCCAAGAAGGGAGGAATTTTGGGTTTCGCTGGCTATCAAATGAAGGCATCACGCAGCCTCTTGATGATGAGCTGACTATATTTTCCACTCATTGCCAAAAACCAGAAGAACACCCTGCTTCCAAATGCCGCCCTGCCGACAGTCGTCGAGTACCATGGTTCATGTCTTGAATCTCCAATCATACCCGTGACACCTTGCTGTTTTTGTCCCCCTGTGCCTGGGCGTTGAGTTGGATAGCCTCCTTGAGCTTGGCCACAACCTCGGGCTGGTTGCCAAAAACCTTCTGCAACAGCTCATCCAGGTCGCGCTCTAGCTTGGCCATGTTCTTACCCCCAAGTTTTCGCGTCTGCGCGTCGTTGACCAGTGTGCCCCAGCGTCTTGTGAACGCGACGATGGACTGTCGTAGAAGCTCGTCCAGTTGCTCACTCGCGTCTTGATTATCGGCAGCTCCCATTCCAGGCGTTCCGGGCGTTCCGGTAGCAGGTGTGCCTGTCCTGCCCGGAGCGGGTGAGCCGCGCGAGAAGAGCGAAGCCCCCGGTATAAAACTGCTGAAGTAGCCGACCCATCCCTGCGCTGTTGAGATGGCATCCCATATCTGGCCAAAGTGCTCCATTCCCTCCCCTTGGCTTCGTACGTCGCCAATTTCGAGAGTGAGCAGCTCGTTCTTCAGGATGAGTAGATTTTTGATCATGAATAGGTCCGGATCTGTGCCATTCTTGCTCGATTTGATCTTGGCCTCGGCCCGTTGCAGCCCCTGGATCGACTCCTTCACTATCTTGAAGACGACTGGGCTGCTGCGTTGCTGTGCGTCGAGATGTATATACCAAATCAGCATGTCTTTTCGCTGACCTCATTATACCTTAACCTTAGTCTCATGGGCAAGGAACCACTTACACATCTCTCCTTAGGCATGCACCGGTCAAACATTATGAGCAGGTCCAGCGCCTGCTTCACAGGAGGGTACGCGTTGGACGACGCGTCTCCACTGGCTGCAGGCTCGATCTTAAGCGCATCAGGGACAATAGGCGCCTTGGTGATGGACCTGACAATCTCGGCTTCAAATAGCCCGTCTGCAAAGGGCCACAGGTGCTCAGCCAGGAGCCTGACTGCCACCTCGCGCCGGTGCATCGCCGCGGGCGTCGTCTCATCGGCCCGGTCCCCGTCATCGTCATCACCGTAGTAGTCGGTAGAGTCGTCGGCCAGATACTCGGCAGACAGCCAGCCGAGTACTGCAGAGAGCGCCTGCAAATCCCCAGGAGTGGCCGGCGTAAGTGCAGTCTGCAGCGCCGTTGCAATAGGGGCCACGTTGACACCACTGACGGTGTCACTGCGGTGCGCCTTGACAATCGCAAATGCCGACTCTGCATCAGGGTTGTAGTGAGGGTCGATACCAAACACACGTGCGAAGAGCATAGCCTCGTTGTGGGATCGTTCGAAGCACTGCTTGACGAAGCTGCGACACGCTGTCTCAATGGATGCCTCCTTACACTCTTCCTTGAAAGAGTCACGGTCCGCCTGGCTGAGTGGGCGAAGATCGCGGTCCCGCGACGCCAGGTAGGTCCGCAAAAGGTTATTGGCTGTGTTGGTGTACATATCGACACAGGAACCTGACTGGTGGTTTCCCCCACGGTCGTATGCCTGTAGGACTACCTTTTGGATATTGGGAATGAGCGAGTATGAATCAAGTATCATCTCCTCAAAGCGACCATACGCTAGCGCGTGCCGAGTCGACTCGGACTGCGTGGCCGCAATCTGCTTCGAGACCTCGCCCGAAACCTTATCCAGGAGTGCGGTGAAGCCAACCTCGAGGAGGTGCAACGCTTTCGTCAGCAGGGCCTGATATCGAGCATGGTAGGATTCGGCATCGCGATATGCCGGCTATTCGAACACATGCAAGAAAATGGTCAGCATTCAGGCATCTCGACGGTGTCTGTTTCGCAAAAAAAAAAAAAAAGCAAGCCCAAACTTACGTGTTGTGCCATGAAGTCGATGCAAGACTCCAAGTTTGTCAGTATCTCGGAAAACGGGGCACCGTCAGCAAGACGGCTAGCCCCCGGAGCATTTAGGCGGCGAGTGACCTCCTCGAGGTATGCATAGTAGTAGAAGTCGGAGCGAACATCGTCGGCGAGTTTCTCAAGCCGTCGCTGCTCCGTTAGCAGGTCGTCGCACTGGGACTGGAACGAGGTTGTTTGCTCCTCCACGGCGCGGAATGACTCTGCAAGAGAAGCAAGGATGTGCAGTGCCCCGTCCGTATCCTCGATGAGGGTGCCGAGGTGCCGCTCCGTCAGGGCCAGCTTGTCGCGATACGTGCTGAGGACCAAGATTGAATGTGAGCCGCGGGGAAGATTTTCACAGATGTCCAGGCCAGTGGGCCAGACAGGGGGCGGTGGTCTGCGTCGTCAAACGCACATATACTCCTGCTGGCTGGCCTCGAGCAACTCATCCTGGAGGACTTCGAAGAAAGGGGTGTCGTCGTCGGGACGAGCGGTGCGAGGGAGACCCGCTGTCTCAACAGCCAGGGCGTCCCAGGTTCTGTCCCTTCTCTTCCTCCGTTTCTTCTTCGTATCTTTCCCCAGCTGCTCCCGCACAATATCGTAAAAGTCCGAGTATGATTTCGCCCGCCGGCTCAAGGAGGGGTCGGATGGGCCATCTTCCTCATCGTCCTCGGCCAGTGCATCCAACTGCCCGATGGCGTCGGACGCTTGCGCGCCTCCCTACGGCACCGAACACATCAGTACCGCATACGTTTAGGCTCTCGGCGGTTCAAGGCCATGCGTACGTTGGGCTGTTGGAGTAGCGACTCTTTTCTGCGGTGGGCGTGGGCTTGTGAGCCACTGCTCTTCTTGCCCTTGAAGTCGGGCACGAAGCTGTACCATGAGTCGTCGTACATGTTCACCAGCAGGCAGCCCTATGGCTTAAGGCGAGGGTAAATCGCCGAATCGTCGTCGTCTTCGCAGGCGGGCGGGTGGGCTTGATCAGTCGAGCTGTGCCTGTGCTTGGGGCTTTGCGCGCTTGCAGCAATCGAAGCGTGGCATCGTCGTCGCTGCTCTGTGTGGGGCTTGCAGGAAGTGGAGCTGGACCCCTGTTAGAAACGGTGGTGCACGGACATGCTGTGAGGGACAGCATCATCCCCAGGGGTGAGCCCGCTTTAGGTCGAGTGCCGCATTGAGGATCTAGAGTGCCGCCGATGCGGATGGGATGAATGGATCTCACAGCCTAGCACCCGACCTGAAGCCGTGCGATAGTTGCAAGCTTCCCCTCTTCAGCGGGTAATCGCACGTGCCATTGTTACAGGTGTGGGGTTTGAATACCCAGAGGCTAGGTAGATTTTTGTCTGAATAGCTTCCACTTCTCCACAAGACAACCAAGGTCTTCAACGAGATTTTCAGCCCACAGGTACCTGCAGCAATGCATCGAACTGGCGCGCTCCGGCGCACCGCACTATCGGCGGCATCTTGCGGACAACGCGCCGCACCACCTTTACGATGGACGCGCCATGCGAGCAGTGGCCCGTCATGGGCTACCGCTCGTAACAAAGGCCCGCGTGGCGGCTGGGGCACGGGACTTGTTCCCGTCATGGTGGTCTCTGCCTGCGCAGGCTGGTATCTCTATCCTGGCTACGTTGAAGGCACGGACTCCGCTACCAAGCCGAAGGAGGATACTGCCGTCAAGCAGTCAGAGAAGCAGCGTCTCAAGGAGGCAACACTGGTGGAGGAGGATCGGGCCCTATTGAGCGCCCAGCATGTCCAGGTTGAAAAAAGCTGGGAAAATCCGGGCGTTTATGCCTGGGGATCCAACTCTGGCAGGGCGGTGGCACCCGATTCGTCCGAGGCCGTTATCAAGACGCCACGCCGAATTCCCTTCTTCGATGGCATGCTGCTCCGCGATCTCAAGATTGATCGAGACTTTGGAGTAGCTGTGACGGAGGATGGAGACATCGTCCAGTGGGGCAATGCTTTCGCTCCCGACACGCAGGTGCCAGTCAAGACGTTGACAGGCAAAGACATCACGAAAGTGGCTGTCTCCAGCGACCGCATCATAGCCCTTTCCAGGGGCGGCGCCGTGTTTTCGTTTCCGATCGCAAAGTCCGACCAGCAGGAAGCAGGGCAAAAGCCGCCCTCGTCCTCCTGGATCCCGTTTTGGTCGGGCGGCGCCTCCGACTCCATCAACTACAGGATCCTGACGCCGCCTAGCCTCGGCTGGCGAGAGAAGGTTGCGGATGTCAGCAGCGGGCTGGAACACTGCCTGCTCCTGACCTCGAGTGGCCGTGTCTTCTCAGCGGCGTCTAGCATGGTCGGCTTCCCATCCAAGGGGCAGCTTGGAATCCCAGGATTGACCTGGCAGACGAAGCCGGAGGGTCCATATGACCAACCATCCCTAGTCAAAGGGCTACCACCAATCAAACAAATTGCCACGGGGAACTATCACTCGCTTGCTCTGAGCGGCAAAAGCCCGCAGGTTCATGCCTGGGGCGACAACTCGGCCGGGCAGCTCGGCTACGAGCTTGATCTCGAGAACCCAGGCACCGACGCACCGAAGGCCATTCCACTCGAGAAGCTCTATGGCGCCAACGGCGGTGCCGGTCCAGCGCTGTCTGTTGGCTCCGTTGCAGCAGGTGGCTCGAATTCTTACTTTACGGTCAACTTGGCCAAGCCGGCCACGCAAGATACGTGGGCTTGCGGCGAGGGCCTGTACGGCAACTTGGGCACGGGCAAATGGGTACACCTGACGTCAGTGCCAGCCAAGATCAAGAGCCTCTCGGGCCTGTCCGAGTACAACGACGCCACCCGAAGCATGGTACCAATCGGCGTGCGGCATCTGTCGGTAGGGAGCACACACGCGGCAGCGGTGCTCGACAATGCGACCTCAGTCCAGGCTCGCGCTCCCAGCGGCAGCACCAACTGGGGCTCCGATATAGTCCTATGGGGCGGGAACGAATTTTATCAGCTCGGGACCGGCAAGCGCAACAACTTGAATGAGCCGGCGCACATCGCACCCCTCGACGTCGGCAGCGGCAACAACAATGCCAGAGCCGCGGCTGTGGTGAGTGGCAACGCTGGGCGGCTGCAACTGACTCCCCGCGCGACAGTCCGGATCGGCGAAGGCGGCAAGGGGCGCAAGATTAGCCTGGAGCAGAGGATTGAATGCGGCCGGTTTGCGACTGCTGTGTATTCCGCGACTGCCTGAGAACGTATGGTGGGCTAGATTTGGGCGACTTTGTCTCGTCTCGGATGTATTTGGGACATTGTACTTCCAGCCATCGTCCGCACCGTACTTTCACAATCATGTATTGATACTTGTGCTTTGGGTGTGTTGCCAGGTTACACATTTCTCCTCTTACTTTTACTGTTGATACCGATCGATCCAGCCTGGAGCTACCAATGCATCCCGTCCATAATTGTGCGTCTACTTTTCGGGGTGTAAAAAGGAGGCAGCGTTCTCCAGTAACCTCACTGATCTTTTTTTTTCGGCCAAAACTTGGCATCAACCTCCCCTTCCTCCAGTGGGCTGGCTGGGCGCCATTTCCGCTCGCGTCCGATGGTCATCAATGATACGATTGAAGCTGGTGTCTTGTTGGTCTTTTTGGCGGGCTGGCTGTGCAGTTTCAGCGGTGTCGGACGCTATTTAACCTCGCAGATGAGAGGCCTAATATCAAGCATGCTAAGACAGCTGGTGGAGCAGCCGGCATGCGGGTCCCAAGGTTACGACATGATACCTCGCCACGCGACAGAACAATTCCACGAGGCTTCTCCGAGCAACCCCAGACCCTCGCTCGATCCATAGATGTCGCCAGATAGACGAACTGATGCCCAAATGCAGGTAGGTATTCGCAGCGAAGGATCGGAGCACCGTTCTTTACTAATTCAAAAATAAACCATTGGAATATCTGACAGCCCACTTCAGGAGGTTTCAAGGAATCTCTGATCCCCCAGACATCTGTCGATTGGGCTACCGATGTCATGTTTTCGAGTTACTATTCTAGAAAGCCAGCCGCCCCGACTTCTCCTAACTTGCCAAAGAGAGACGCAACCTATCTTTGAGGCACGCTGTGTTTCCAGCAACATACCTAGGTAGTAGGTAGTAGGTATCTGGTGCAGACAGCTAATCCGCGGATACTGTGTGCTATATATAGCACGGCGGGAGCTGCTTTCGTCGTCCCAACCTTGGCAGATCCGTTCAGACGGTTCCGATGGCGGACACGACCTGGCAGTCCCAGCTCACTCTTGAGTTCCCGGTCGGTGGTGCCGCAGGCCAAGGTTCAGGCCTCTGACAGACCCATGTGCATGCTCCAAAATAACAGGAAAAATCGAGCTCGCTGTCGAGAACTGGGTTACGCTGGGTGTGGGTGTGTCGCGTTGGCCGAATATGCCGTGGTTGCAGCCCTTGCGACCACCCGCTGCGTTGAGTGGGGGCACCTGGGCTGTGCTTTTTTAGTGGACCCAGCGGGCCTCTGCTCGGTCGCTCGGGGCATAGGTGGATGCCATTCTGCGATATTGCAACCGACAGGGGCATCCGAATCTCCGATCCCAAACAGCCGGAAACAAAAAGTGCAGCTGGGAGCACCCAATGGGCGAGGCTGACAACAAGAGCGCTCGCCCAGGTCATTATCAGAGCGTGAGTGCGTAAATAAATGCTTGAGTGCGATCATTGATGAGATATTCTCCCTCGACCAACCGAATGCGGAAGACTTAATCCGCTGGCCACATGCGTTTGGCGCCGATCACAGAGGTCTCGCTCGGGCTGGACTTTGATTGCTTGACTGTCGCAGCCCAGCAGCTCGCGGGGTGGAGGAATGATGCATGGACAACGTCAGTCAGGCATCGTCGAGTTTCGATGCGTGATGTGCATGCTGCCACGCTGCCTGCTGCTCAGCACCCGCCCAGGCTCAGGACTGGAGACGTTTCCGGGCAGACCCCGCCTAAACTGAGCGGCCTAGGGCCTAGGCTGAGCTCAACGCCACCTGCGCTACCCCTCCCCCTGTTATCAGCCGCCTGCACATCCCCTGTACTGTACCTTCGCCCGGCCCGAGCACCCACCTTGATGAATCCGGCTAGCCTAGCTCTACCCACTACGGATCCACCTGAGCACGACAAACCTCGACCACCCGACAATGCCCTTGGCACCAACAAATCTCGGCGTCGCCCCAATCCTAAGACGGACACTGCCGCGCGCCTCCGTGTCCATTTCTTATCACTGTCAACCTCGCTACTCTCTGAGATCTTACGCTACCTCCGTCCTCATCGCGCACCGTTTTAGGCGAACTGCCTTTGTCCAATATCTTGCAACCATGCTCCGAGTCTGCTCCCGCCGCAACTGAGATATCGCCGTCTTTGTTCCACCGCTGGCCCGGCTCTCCTCCGAACGCCATTGTCACCCACTAGTTGACCCGCCATCTGCCGTCTGCGCGCCACCAAACAAGCCCAAGCTGCTCACTCAGTGAGCCAAACACAAACATCTATCGCCCCAACAAACTCGCCAGGCTGCTCCACCCGTGGAAATCGTTGGCTCAAAACCTCTCCGAGCGTCCCAACCTGACGTGTCGCTACAACGCCACCCGGCCGACTTCTTCAGATATGGAGCGCTTTTCCAAGTTTCGAAGGAGCAAAAAGGACTCGACCGGAGCCACCGGTGTTGCCGCTGACGACAAGGCCGCTGCTACCTCTGCCGCCTCGCGCACCTCGTCTCCGTCCGACCCAGAAACCGCAGCCGCAGCCCCCGCCACGGCACATCAGGTCCTTATGGCCGCCGCGGCTCCCGAACGCCGGCGGGACATGCACTCACCGTTCCGTGGCCTCCACCTCCGAACCTCGACAAAGCGCGCGCGCTCGTCGCCCCCTGCGGCCCTCCCCCAGTCGCCGACCAGCTCTTCTGCGCATCCCGGCCTCTTCATCAACACCGACCTCAGCGGGATCGATCAACAACAGAATGCCTCGCCCCTCTCAACAGCCCAACACGCTGTCTCGGCCATAGTTCCCAAGCGGCAAGACTTCCCGCGCCCGCAGCGCTCGCGATCTCAGTCACAAGCTAGGAAGCGTCAGCCTGGCTCTGGCGCTAGAGGCCCGCAAATTCCATCTTTCCTCACCCTCTCGCCACAGGAAATAGAGAACAAGTTCCAGGATCTGACATGGCTAGAACGGGAGCGCATGTTGCAATCGGCCCAGAACCCGGCGCCAACATTTCAGTTTGCTCGGGTGCCGTCGCAAGCTCACGTCAAGCGCCTGGATCGCTACATCAACGTCCAGCCATGGCAGAACAACCGTGTTCGGCTGCAGGTGCCCCCGGGGAAACCGGACTACATCAACGCCTCGCCCATATGTCTTTCAGCCACCACGGGTGGCCCGTTTGAACAAGGCGGAAGCGATGCGGAGGACCACCCGAGTCGATACATCGCTATGCAGGGGCCCAAGAAAAACTCGGTCGAGCACGTCTGGCGTATGGTTTTTGAGCAGCTGCGCGGTCCCGCAGTCATAGTCATGTTGACTGAGACGCATGAGGGCCCAGCTGAGAAGTGCTATCCATACTTTCCCCGCTCTCCCGACTCACCCCCGATCGAGATTGGCGCCTCGGATGAGTTTGCAGATGGCTTCCGTGCCTCGGTGCGCTGCGAGGCCATCGAGCCTACTTGCGCAGGTGATGCCATCGAGCTACGCAAGCTGGTGATCCGAGTCCACCGCCGGGCAGGCGTTCCAACGGCAGGCACACCCGCTACACCACTACGGAAGCAGCGACATAATTTGTCGGATGGCGAGGGTGGCAGTCGCAAGCGAGACGTAGAGTCGGAGGCGACGAGCCCGATAGAGACGACCCAAGGGGACGACGACGACGTGATGATCATGTCTCCCTTCAAACCCGACCCACCGGCTGGGCGCAGCATCTTCCCCAGCTTAAAGAAGCGGAGGGATAGGTCCCAAACCGGTCAAGGCAGCAGCAGGAGTAGTAGTAGAGCCTCGGCGAGGACGGGCGACGATCGCACACCTGCGGGGTCGACAGACCGTGAGGAGAACGGCATCGAGGAGGAGAACGGCATCGAGGAGGAGGACGAAAGCGAGGCGGCCGAGGTGGAAGAGCGCGTGGTGCATCACTTCCTCTACAAGAAGTGGCCCGACTTCGGAGTACCGGCGCTGGAGGACCTCGACTCCTTCTTTACGCTGATGAGACTGTCGCGCGAGAAGAACGCGGACCCAGAGAACCCACGCATCGTACATTGCAGCGCTGGTGTTGGACGCTCAGGCACCTTCATTGCGCTTGAGCATCTGATGCGAGAGCTCGACTCGGGTGTGCTGGAGGACTGGGACGATCAGGAGGAGGATAGGACGTACGCTGGCGACGGAGGCGCCGGCGATGGCGACCTCATCTTCCACACGGTGAATCAGCTCCGCGAGCAGCGTCGGAACATGGTCCAGGCCGAGGGCCAGTTCCTGTTCATCTATCAGGTTCTGCGCAAGCTTTGGCAGGACAAGTACGATGTCCCTGAGGAGGAGCAAGAGCCCGCGGCCAAACGGCACGAGGTCGATCCTTTTGTCAGCAGTGAGAGATAGTCGTCTCTGGTTGTCTTGCTTTTCACGTGTTTGGTCGGGCTTTCTCCCTATTCACGATGCGGTATTTCGTTGATCTAGGTGATAGCATGGCGTCACTCGGTGGTTTTTCTTCTTTCCCTTCTTTCTTTCTTCATCTGATGGACCACCCTGATCTCGCAGGAAACACACGCTTTTTTCTTTCCTCAATACGGCCTTGGTATTGTGGGAGCGGCACAGTCAGTCTATATTTGGGCGTCTACCTCGTTTAATTCCTTGCTTGTGTAACACTGTACTTTTATGTAACCGAACCTCTTCTGCCTACTTTGTCTGCCGTGGGCTCGCCACTACATTGGCTCCCTCCAATCCTACCTCACGCTCCCGTTTTTTTTCCCTTTTCATCGAAGCGAGGTTCATCCTAATTCGGCCACCAGCGTTCCATATACGTGAACATACGCATCCACAGATACGGCTAGCGCGGGACATGGCGTTCATCGCATGCAAGTCTGGCACGACAGCCCGTCGGCGGGCCGAACAAGCGTGGCGAGCCGGCAGTCGTCGAATCCGTCAAGCCGTAAGTGACGGGCGCATGGGTTTCATGGTTGGTCGCTTACGGTGATGAGTTCCCCGTTTGCCTTGTTCGCACACACACACACACACGTGCAACCTACGCGATTCCCGAGCCGACGCCGTGCAGGGGGCTCCGAGGGCGTGGGGAGGCTAGAGGACTAAAAGCGAGGGGCATGATATGCAGGCTGGGGGGCGGGCGGGCGACCTGGCATGAGGGCTTGAGTACCCAGGTTCTTTCATGGCTGGTTGGCTTGTTGAGGGGGTGGGAGGCGTCCGTCGGCGTCGAGGCCGCAACTGCCAAGCATCGCCTCCACCTAGGAAATCGGTCCGTGTCGCAACCTGGCTAAAATTACGAAAGGAGCCCTGCCCAGGCAGGCCCCCCATCCTCGGATCATGACCCCGATTTGGAACATTCATCCTTTCTTTTTTTTCCTCTTCCTGCTCTCCTTCTTCTTCATGCCCATGAAAAACTCTAACTCCAGGCAGGGTCTTGGGTGGGCACGGCAGCCCCCCCCCC